TGAAAGCTGAGAGCAACTCATTTTATTGTGCTGGTGGACACCTTATCTAACCATGGTCTATCTCACCTAACCATTACTTAGAAACTCTTAGCTTAATTTGTGACCTTACCGCACTTAAGAGGCAGTATTTTTTAGAGCAGAGAGATGAGACTGGGTAACTTCTGCAGCCTGATCCTAGCTGATACAAAGTTCCCCTGTGTGGCTTTAGGTAAGTTCTCTAGATTTCTCTACCTCAGTTCCACTTTGCTACAAGAAAGATGATCATGCTGAGTTCAGACAACTGTTAGAATTACCTAGTTAACACTTTTAAAAGGATCTAAAGCAGTAGTAGTAAATCTAGCCCATGAGATTTGCTAGCAGTATATCTAGCCCTCTTCCCCCACAAATTGTGTCTTAAAAATAGCAATCCATTTTACCTGGGAGCTACGGAGGTGGAAGCAGATTCATGATGTGTCCTGAAGGAACACGTGAATGGCCGTCAGTCAAAGCAGTAGCATTCAAACTGTCAGCAGCAGTCACACTTTGTTTAAAAGGGTAAGGAAGCCAAGTGTCAATGGCTTGGATAGGTGGGGTTGTTGCAACCTACCTGTTCTAGTATTTTCATTAGCTGTGTAGCAAATGGCTGCTGTCTTCCTCTCTGTTATCCATAAGTCTTCTTCTGAGCTTCTCTACTGCTTATACTAAATCTGCCTATTCCCTGACTTGTTCTATTTACCACTGTAAATACCTAGGCACTGCACCTCAACTGGGCAAGCTACAGCTATTGGTCTGAGCCAGAGGTGGGCAAGAAATTCTTAATTAAAAAGCTCAAAAAACCCAAAAAGATAAAATAAATTTGCAGCCGTAAGACCCATACATTCTGCCGCTTCACATAAGCAGTAACTCAGGAAAGCTCTTAGGCACATGTTTAAGATAAAGTATGTCCAATTTTCCTCTGAAAAGTGTTCTGTGTAAGTAAGTGATTTTTGGAATGAGACCTCCATGATTGTATGTCATAGAAAGAAATGTCTTTGCTGCCAAATCCGAAGTCTGCTTGACAATCAACGCGGTACATTTTATTGCTGAAATATGTCAGATGAAAATCACAATGCATATTAAATATCTAACCAAAAGCATAACAGCTCATGATACGTGTGGCTAAATCAGGCCACGCTGGTGTTAACAAGATATATTTAACAGGCATTTCAGAGACAGGACAGATATGAGACCAACAGTGATGATTCCTAGTTGCCTTTGCTGGACCTACAGAGACCACCACTTCTCCACACACTCCATCTTGTTTTGAATGCACTGTCCATGCTACAGTACATGGATCAACTCTTCCATGCCACAGCTCCCACCCACCAAGGCATGCCCCTCGCAGAACCATTACAGAAAACATTGCCCAGTAATGCTCATTGGTCTCATTTGCTCTAGTAATTGAAGCCTTTTCCACAGCAATTCACAAAGATCCCTTACAAACCCAAAATATTTTATGTTCCAGTTTTGCAGCTGCTTGAATTCATAGCCAACCATTCCCAATGCCATTATGAAATTAAGTACTGCTCTGCAAGTCTATGTAGCTACCTGTGGCCTAGACTACACTGATAGAAAGCAACATCAGGAATATACTAATAGCCATAATGTGAAAATACATTATGAAGATTTCTCATGTTAAGCATATGTTAACTGATACCAGTTAATTCTACTGACGCACTCTAATGCAGAGTGAAAAATTTCACCTAAATTATTTTTCAAGGGAAAAGCGCAGATTCTCTCCCATTAATGCAGTTCAATAATCTGTATGAATTTCCCAGACTGCCTACTTAGAAAAAAGATTCAACATAAAAATTGTCGCAACCACTCCAAAACAAAAATAATTAGTTTTTCTACTATAATAGAATTCTTCAATTGTTAAAGAAAGTTTTTTCTGACCTCAACCAGAAAGAAGAGAGCATTTTTTTAATTTGGCCCCTTTTTTACTTCCAGAGGGTTCACTACCTGTTTTCAGATTTCCACTAACTCCCAAACTGAAAGTATTTTTTAAATTCAATGTAAACTAAAAATAAATCCACACTATCTGCTGGAGCAAGTCCAGAGGAGGACCACAGAAATGATACAAAGGCTGGAGCACCTCTCCTATGAAGACAGTCTGAGAGAGTTGGTTTTGAGAGCCTGGTGAGGAGAAGGCTCCGAGGACACCTTATAACAGCCTTCCAGTACCTAAAGGGGGCCTATAAGAAAGATGGGGATGGACATTTTGGCAGGGCCTGTAGCAACAGGATAAGGGGTAATGGGTTTAAACTAAGAGAGGGCAGATTCAGACTAGTTACAAGGAAGAAATTTTTTATAATGAGGGTGGTGAGGCACTGGAAACAGGTTGCCCAAGGAGGTGCTTCCCATCCCTGGAAACATTCAAGGTCAGGCTGGGGACTGAGCAACCTGCTCCAGTTGAACACAGTCCTGCTCACTGCAGGGGGGTTGGACTAGATGACCTTTGAAGGTCCCTTCCAATCCAACTATTCTATGATTCTATCTGCCTAGCTTTGCTCTGATGGTAAGTTATGTTTGCTACGATATAGGTAAAAGATGATATTAACATCTTTCCAACATGAAACATTTTCCCAGCCACCATGTGGAATATCATTTTTGCTGCATGGATTGGGTATTTACTTCTAGGGATCATACTAGAAGAGGATAGACAAGCGCACTGCACCTCGCATCCCAACAAACAAAATATCCAAATGCTTACTAAACACAGTATCATTTTATAAATTAGAGTGAGCTAATCCAAAGCAATTAGGTTCATCCAAAAACATCGGGATCATTTGCAAAAATTAAAAATGGTTTATGCAAAACAGAGCAATGGGTGTGAATTGAAAAGCTCCTGTAATACCTGAAGTCTTACTGAATGCCTGGGCACGTCAGACTGGGGGTGAAGAAGCTGGGAAGGTAAGAATTTCTTGAAAGAGAGTCCACAGAATCATTTAAGTTGGAAAAGACCTTTAAGATCATCATGTCCATTCATAAACCTAACACTGCCAAGACCACCACCAAACCATGTTCCTAAGTGCCGTATCTACATCTTTTAGATGCCTCCAGGGATTATGACTCAAGCACTTCCCTGGGCAGCATGTTCCAATGCCTCACAACTCTTTCAGTGAAGAAATTTTTCCCAATATCCAATCTAAACCTCCCCAAGCACAACCTGAGGCCATTTCATCTCATTCTATTGTTTATTACTTGTGAGAAGAGAATGATACTCACCTTGCTACAACCTCCTTTCAGGTAGTTGTAGACAGTGATAAGGTGCCCTCTGAGCCTTCTCTTCTCCAGACTAAACAACCTCAGTTCCCTCAGCCGTTCCTCATCACACTTGTGCTCCAGACCCTTCATCAACTTCATTGGCCTTTTCGGGACCCGCTCCAGCACCTCAATGTTTCTCTTGTAGTGAGGGGCCCAGAACTGAACACAGGATTCGAGGTGCAGCCTCATCAGTGCCCAGTGCAGGGGAATGATCACTGCCCTGGCCCTACTGGCCACACTAGTTCTGATACAAGCTAGGATGCTGTTGGCCTTTGTGACCACCTGGGCACAAGCTGGCTCATGTTCAGCTGGCTGTCAACCAATATCCCCAATATTCCTTTCAATTGCACTAATCTCCACAGACAACCATTAGTGCAAGGATCCTGAGAATCATTAGTCCCATTTTCCATGCAGAGAACCAAAGCAGCAGGTAAGATCACAGACCAGTAGCAGAAGTGATCTCAGACTCTGACTGCTACTTTCTTTTTCCAGGCCAGTGACAGGGAGTCTGCTGTCCTAGGAAGATGTTGTGGTTTAAGCCCAGGCAGTAACTTGGAACCACGCAGCTGCTCGCTCACTCTCCCCACCCCTTCTTCCCCATGCTCCCAGAGGGATGGGGAGGAGAATCAGAGGAATGTAACTCCCACAGGTTGAGATAACAGCACTCCAGTAACTAAGGTATAATACAAACCACTACTGCTACCAATAATAATGATAAGAGGAATAACAAGGGGAGAGGACACAACCGCTCACCACCCGCCGACCGATACCCAGCCCGACCCGAGCAGCGATCTGGGCCTTCCGGGTAACTCCCCCCAGTTTATATACTGGGCATGATGTGCTGTGGTATGGAATACCCCTTTGGCCAGTTTGGGTCAGGTGTCCTGTCTCTGCTTCCTCCGAGCTTCCTGAGCCCCTCCTCATTGGCAGAGCATGAGGCTGAAAAGTCCTTGATCAGGGTAAGTGCTACTGAGCAACAACTGAAAACATCGGTCTGTTATCAGCATTGTTCTCAAACTAAAGCCGAAACACAGCACTGCAGCAGCTACTAGGAAGGGAAAAAATAACTATTACAGCCAGACCCAGGACAGAAGAACATCTGCTAGGGACATATTTACAAACCGCAACTGTGTATTTATCAAGTTAGGAGGTGAATTGCCAAGGAATGTAAAAAGTCTTGCCCTAAAGAGATCACTTCTGTAGGTGGAGAGCCCAGACAGGTTTGGAGATTTCAGAACAAATATGTGCAAATATAATTACTGATCAGAGTGAGAACTGATAAATGTTAATGGAGGAAGGATGGGGAAATACTGTGTTGGACACAGGATGAAGTAAAATTTTTAAAAGTCAAAAGAGATGAACAGGAATGACCCTGGATTAACTCTAAATCATAGCCATTATAATAGCAAAAGAATAAAAATAAAATAAAACCACATTGTGAGACAGTTTGGCTACCACTGAGTGCTCAATAACAGCATAAAAATACATGGTATAAAATCTTACTAAATTACATGGTATGAAAACACTCACACCATGTATGTATCACCAGAGAATAAAGGGGTTATCTTTCCACTAGTGGCCCTTTCAGTACCACAGCTTACAGGCATTTATGTCAGAGGTTGTTCCAACACGGACAGTGGCTATTCGTGGTGCAAGAATACACAAGCTCCTGAAGCTGAGCTTCCAGCACCACAGAACAGGAGCACAGGGGACTTCTAAACCCTTGGCAATCCATCTTCACTAGCTGTGCCATTCAGGATAATCTTTGTAGTCTGCTTGTTGTCCCCAGCTTCTTCAGCCTTACACTCTGGAGGCTCTAGGTCATTGTATTTTCTCCGATAGACCACCCTTGAGATGAGGGTTATCAGAAACATTTCCATTACGAGGAGCTGCTGGGTCATATCTGCCAAAAAAAGGGAGGCAAAAAAAGCCCCCCAAAGGGGGAAATGACTGTCAGACACAAAATGAATACCTGGCTTATTCATTTTCATCTGTGCAAAAGGAACAAGCTTTACCACCCTGTCCTCGTAAGGGAGTGTCTCTCGCACTTGGCAATAAGATCAGTTAGAGAACTGCCTATCAATAAGCATGCAGTAAGTTATGTATCCAAACCCCAAAGGATTTAACAGTAGTTATGCATGTTGGGTTTTTTCCCTCTCATTTCTGATTCCAAATCTTCTCATTATCAAGTTTTTCTCTGCAACTATGACACCTATAAAAATTTTGTTACTGTCTATTAAGTAAAAGCTGAGATTCTCCAAAAGCTACATGATCCTAGGAAGTAAGTATTTTTGGAAAACACCAGATATTGCAGTTAGTGACACTGAACTGGCACCTTTCTAAGTAAATGAAGAACATACTTCCCAAAAGAACTTACATGCTCCTCTTGCTGAAGAGGAGAGTGGTGGAGCGCAGGGAATGATTCTTCGTGTGGCCAAGATGTTGATGATGGATGCCTGCAGGTGGTTTAGAATGAGAATAAACTGGACAGAAAGAGAAAACAGATACCTCAGCTACAAGATAAAGGTTTACAGTTCACACAACAATTCTGCTTTCATAACAGACCCTCTTCTGCTTTATTCCTCCTTTCTGGCCTTTCCTCTCCTCCCATCTACCAGCAGGCTGCCTGCCAATCTGCAGAACTCATCTTTAGGTCAAGATGATCTTGCTCTGAATGTGAGTATGAAATTAAACCTCTGCTTTGAAAGTGTTTCTTCTCAGCCCTCCATTTAGGAGGTGCAATATACACAGACCTCCCAGCTGGGATTTTAAACAATACTGAGCTCCGAATGATAGGGAACAATGCTTTAATATCTTCCTGTTAATGTGACCTATGAGTTTATGTTCTTCCTTAGTGGAAGAAGGACCCAAAGAGCAGTTTTTCTGTTATCTCCACTTTTTGTCACAGCAGGGAGATGTGGTGCTCCCCAGGTTATATAAGGCTCACTTCTTTGCCAGAAGGGATGGACTCTTCACAGCTTGAGTTCAGCAACAATCACACATATTATCAGCTATTTGCTGAGCTAGGCCTTTGCTCCCTTGGAGGTACCAAAGTATGTTTTTACCTGCTGGGTGTAACTGCCTGAGTATAAACCCTCTCATTAACAGTATTTGCCATCCTAAAACTGGATTCATTCTAATGGAGGTTTGCGGGTGGGACTACCCTGTTTACTGCATTTATGAGTGCTTACTCATTCGCTTCACAGAGACCTTAGTGCACCAGCCTTTCTACAGGTCCTGTTCAAGAAGGATGCATACCCAAGGATTCCACTGTGCTCTCTTGAAGGTGATGTGGAAGAGGGTGGCCCTGTCCCCGGGCTAGTCCCAATCTAATCTATCTGGCTCTGTTCCTTACTATTTAATGATTCCCTGTCAGTGTTTTCGTTTTTATCTAACTCAGAAGCACAGAATAACCCAGCAAAATATTGTCAAAACAAAACACTGTGACATGATGGAACAGTCCAAACAACAGCCACCCACACAATGCGCTACATCCTCTCCTAGTCTAAAAGTACACACCAGCATTTTAACATTGTGTTTTGGGATACTGCATCTACAAAACTTCCTTCGAGTCCCACAGAAGGTACTGTTTCGATATCAGTTGCCTAAAGATAAATGGGTTGTAACGTGGCTTTCACATCTTCAGCAAGCCTGAGAGACTAGAGATAAATCAGTCCAAGCTGAAATTCAACAGCAACCACGGAGAGTGCTTCAAAGGGATGCAGCTTTAATTAGGTAAAAATATGCCTTTGCATAGCATATTTAATGGGGAATAAATTTACTATAACTTCCAACAAAGGACCAAGAAGAGACAGACAATGTTATATCAACAGCTAAGAGAAATTCTTATCAGAAATACTAAACTTCTCACCTGATAAAGAGCAAACTTTGGGATGATCTTCTTACAGATAAGGAGAGTCCTAACTTGCTGAAACATGATTGCAACTGGCCACAGAGCAATAATGGTAAGGACACCAACCACACAGCTAATCCATATTGCAGCTCCTTTGGTTGATAACTGAGAAGCAAATCAAACAGCCATACCTATAAAACTTTACAGTGCGTTTCACTATTTCCAGGAAGAAGCTGTGAAAAACTGGATGATGCAAATGTTAAAATGCTTATTGCTGTCTCCATGAAAGCTGATGGTGGTAGCAGTTGCTGGGGTTGCATGGAGAAACTGCACAGTACCTGGAGTGTACTCTCACCCAGCTGGCACGGGCATGTGAATCTGTTCAGCCTGGGAAGGTAACAAGTGACACAACCCCTCAGCCTCACCCCAGCAGCACCTCAGCAGCTCATGAAAGCAAATGTAGCACAACATCTCAGCGGGGTCATCTGTTTTTTACTATCAACAAAAGAAAGTGTTAGTTTTAATCCGAGTTGCCCATGAGGTGGAAAATTATTAGCAGATACAGACTAATCCATCATCTTGCAGCTTACATGGTACAAAACAGAAGGACAGTAATAACTTCTCTACTTTGCACAGAAGAACATAGAATTAAGCTTCCTGTTTACATGCCAGTACCCACACTTGTTTCTTAAGGCTAGACCTTACGAAACACATAGCAGGAACATCCCACAGGGCAACCTGCAGTCCTACTATTCTATCCATACAAGCTGGGAAACATATTGGAGCACAGTCTGATGCCCAACCCACCCTGATGCCCAGTTTCTTTCCAAGAGAAGCCATGAAATGGAGTCTGGGGCAACACAGAAATTATATGCTTCAGGGTCTCAAAAGAAGAATACAGTAAGGACTCACTTGGAAGCGCTCACAGATTTCACAGTTTAGTTGTCCAGGATACTAACAGCAACCCTAAAACCTATAGATTTTGTGGACCGTCTCCTATTAAAATATTTACTTACATTGTAAAGGGTGTAATTGCCATTAGTCCAAAGCACTATTGACAAAAACATGAGCACAGGTCGAAGGAAAGCAAACTGAAGAGTGCCCAGCTTCAGCCAAAAGAGGCTTCGCCTGACCAGGAAAAACAAAGATAAAAATCACATAGGCCAAGATATTATTAGCAACCTTCATAACATTTTCTTGGGTACTGTCAACTGTAGCATGTGGGAGAAATCTGGGGAGGAACAGCTTCAAGATTAGAAAATCCTTCCAAGAATTAGCCAGTGTTTATTTAATAGTCTCTACAAAAATAGGACTTTTCTGTTCTGCAGCAATTACACACTAACCAGAGCTGGGCAAAACGTGGTGTCTTTCCCTGCCCTGAAGCTAACCAGAAAGCCAGTAGCAGCATAACCGGTTCTGAACAATAATGCCGTTTGCTCTTGCCTTGGTGCCTTACTATTTTAGTTCTCTGGTGAAATTGGGCAGTTCAGCCTTCCTGTTCAGACACTTCCTAGCCCTGTGGTAGATCAATAAAGGGAATCATACCAACCTAGGTGACAGCTTTTCAATGCATTGTGAATACTGCCATGTAGGCACCTGGTTTTGCTCCTCTATACTCTAACAGAAGAAAGGAACTATCTTTACTATCTTTCACTTGGCAAACTGCACAAGGCCAGCAGGACAGCTCAGGATTTCCTTACTTCAGTCAGGATAAACTGGGGCCAGGACACAGCCCAGACAAAGTAACCTGGCCAGCCAGCATTAAAGGCCACCAGGAAAGGACAAGATGCACTTTGTAACAGAGGGCATGAAAGCTGGCTGACCTGAACTCTCCTTCAGTTTTCACAGGACAAGCCGTGGCTGCTGTGGCTGGCTCACTTTTCAGTCTACTATTGTGTGTTATTTCCCATACTGACAAGGTTCTCTTCACTATAGCTCCTTGGGCTGTTAAGACTGCCAATCAGAGCTGCCTCTGCAGACAACAGGCTGCCATTCAGTATGCTACAGGATGTAGCCATGAACCCAGAATTAGAGGAATCGCTCAATGAATATAGGTAATAATAACCACGGAATAAGGAACAGCACAAATACATGTGGAAAGGCCTGCAACTGGCCAGCCACTTGGTGTGTGTGCCTGTTCAAAGATCTGTTATTCCCAAAGGGCTTTAAAGAACGGTATGACAAATGGTGTAGCCACTGCAATGCCACAAGTTGTTTCCCTTGTCAACACAGGTCTATCTTTCTTGACCATCAGACCTATTCTGCCACATCTGTCCCTATTGTATGGCTTGTTACTTTGACACAAGTGTCTACTGCACCTTGTACGGTACTTTCCCAGTACTGCTTGATAGTATGTGTTTTCTGAAAAAAACAACAAACCCCTCCCTTGGAGTAGCTCCCTGTTTCCCCTGAAGGTACCTACAGGAGGAACATGAGATTGACCTTTGTCTAGTATAGCCTGCTCAGATTTCAAAAACATGGTACCCTGCCAGAGGAAAAGGAGGGAAGTTAGAAGCAGAAACAACAGATGGGTTTCCCAGTGCTGCAGAAACTGGAGAAGGAGCCCCAAGCCTTCTGCAGAACAAAACCCTTTCTTTTCTAAACAGACAGCTGTCCTTCCTCCCAGCAGTAGTAGGCACTACCTAGCTCCTGAAAGGAGTTAATATTAGCTAATGTTATCCTGAGTAAGCTGCCACTGGACTGACCAACAGGAAGGAGGGCATAGTAGAGGAACTGCTCGCAAGCTCCCAGATGCTATAACAGAGGGTGACAGACACTTGAAGAAAAACAAATATACTTGTGACACATCAGATCTATAGCACAGCTCTGTCCCATGGCATTTCTTCGGCTCCGACTGCTGAAATGAGCCTGAACCAATACCCATTAAAATTGGTAGGAATCATTTAGAACCATATTAGTAGCTGCTGATTTTACACCATTGTATTACATCCGGTTTTGGAGCTACATTTTTCAATTGGTTTACTACCTATTCTTCTCAATGCCTCCAGCATGTAAATAATTAGTGTTATTCCATTAAAATAAAATGATGGAAACAATAATTCAAATTCTAATACCAAATGAGGCAGTTTAAAGAAGAATTATTACAGTAGAAAATAAGAATTTTTGCAAAGGCATCACAGGCAAACTGCTATGCTGTGTTCTGTTTCCTGCTTTCATTTAACCAGACCATTAAGTCTCCAGAGTCCCTCTGACGCTCATGCCCAGGCCCTCATGGGAAAGTCTCTGTCTTGCAGTCCTTCAGCTTTTGCTTTTCATGAGTGAAGCATTTTCATACTCTGTGCCAGTAGGAAAGCCCTGGGAAATACATGAGGCTTCCAGGCTGTGATGTGGTGTGTAAATGACAGCGACACCAGCCAGAGGAAGAGCCCCACCAGGCAGTGAGTTTAACCAGAGACAAGGTTTATGTTACACTATATTGGCTCCTGTAAGCGCAGCTCTCTGACCTTACCCCACTCCCCAAAGATGCTCTGATACTAAGTTTAGTAGAAGAAAATATTTGCTTTTGCCACACCAGACAATGCCCCTTCTTAGAGATCAAATCTTTCCAGGAATCACACCCATTTTTTGCTCTAAAATTATTTTAATCTGAAGTACTTTTAAAGTTAAAATCAGAATAAAACATTTCCATTTTATCAAAGTAAGAGAAATTTTCTTTCAAGGCAGCCTCAATTTGACAATTTGTGAAAAATACCTGATTTGGACATTTGTTCCCTTCTGGAATGAAAAGAAACTGAAATCTCTATTATTAGGTTTTCTGAAGTAGAAATTCCTTCTCCCACACACCACTGCTTACTACAGAAATGGTTTCTTGGAAGATAATGGCATTAGTTGGGGAGATACCATGGTGCTCACATCACTATGAGTGGGAATACTGCACTGGCTTAAATCAAAAGAGCTCATCCTCTCGACTCTTATGCAAAATCCTGCAGTATAAAACTGAAATAAATTACTGGTGGTGTACAGCCCCAAAGTGATGGCACTGTTTAAAAGAGCCGGCTTGCCACTGACTTTCAGGAAGCAGGGAGGCCCTTTGCTGTAAGCCTGGCCTTGCCAAGTGGGCTGAATTCCAGCAGCCATTTTCCAGCTGGGAAATCTTAAAGGGCAACTCACCTAGTGATGCGCACGCGAGGGAGGCAAAGGCAGCAGCAGCAGCAGGGACCAGTGCTGATCTTGAAGTGACCATTTTCAAACCGCTTAAGGAGCAGCTTTTGACCTCCACAATCTTTAATCATCATCATCAGGAACTTGTGGATAACTATGGCAAAAAATCTAGGAGAGGAGGAAAATGCCAGCTTGAGTTTGCCTGTGTGTCTCTCATATGCCTGTGCAGGCCGGTGCCGCCTTCTGTCCATGGTTTTTACAGCCTGTGCTTTGCAATCAACAAAAGTTCCACTGCTATCTTTGAAAAACCTTCCACTTTCTATCACCTCAGAGTTCGGAGCTGCCCTAACCTAACCAAAACCAAAAGATGAATAAACAGAGGTAGAAAGCAGCTATGGAATTTCCCAAAGCCACACTGGTGGCTGGAGGCAGAGTCAGTACTGAAGTAGAGGCTTTTCTGGCCCAAGCCATTATGGCCATATTTTTCCATCACTTACCTAGTCCTGATTGGTCCAAAGTTTTTAGAACAAGTACTCTCCCCCCTCTAAAAAATACCCCAAAACAACACCCAACAACAAACGTGGCTACATTCATCTATATATACATACATACACACACACACACACACACA